CTGAAGGCTGTTCATCATCATCCATTAATTTCGTTGTTGTGTCTAAAAATGTAACTATGTGTTACAGAAAACTTACACTTCTTTGGGCTACTCTAAACTGGAGTGCCCCTTTTTCGACAGACCATCAGAGTTCAGAAAAGCAGTATCGAAGAAGAGGGACATGCCTCAAACACATGGGAGGAATCTTAACATGTTAATATGCCTTAATATCTCTTAAATTTTTATGATTAATCTCTAATATTCTTACCATTTTTCCATCATCGTCTCCGTTTTGCATTTGTCTGGTGACGAATATACATGTCATTACTACTGACCTGTTATAGCTTTCTAAAATCTGTGTCCTGCCGTGATCTGCTTGCTCAAATAACATCTCTCTTCTGCATAGTTTCGTATATCGTTTGCAGGAGGATGGATTTGCTGGATATGTTTATCAAGCCAAACTCATTATTAGACAACGGTCTCATCATTGTAGAACTACAAAGCTCCTTTGACGTCTGCATTCTTGCGCTTTGCGGCGCTAAATATCATCCAAATATTTCGTCAACCTCTCGCGTAGTTACTTGATTGGAAACGAACGTCCTCTAGGTGACTTCCCTCTTTCTGTAAGCATTTTGACTCGCTTCTTGCCCTAGAAGTTATCTATTTATCACTCTGTTAACATTTGACTGTTAAGTCATTTAGCGAATCTGGGATGACCAGTCCGCCACCGACTGGTTGAGCATATTCTTGATGACTGTAGGCTATTCTTAACCGGACCAGCCGGAAAATGAATCCAGAAACTTGCATGCATAAAACCGGTCTTTCGCCATCCTGACCATTAGTCACTGGTCTAGCAAAAGGCAGAGGTGGAAGAATTGTTCACTAGTGATTTCTGCCAATCGAATTCTGTAATTATCTTGATGAAATTCAATGCTGTGCGGTGAGTTCCGAAAATATCCTCTTTCAGTTTTTACGCAGAATTTAGATTGAACAACAGCCAATATCTAGACACCTCACTGAAGAGGCTGCTGCTCGTTCAACAGACGTTCATGTCATCTTGCGATTACTTTAATGGCGGAATTTGGCTGAGTTTTATTCAGAATGACATCGCTACCGACATCTAGAATCTCACCGAATTCCTCGCCACAGTATTCCTGCCCAACGAACCGGGGGAGGCTGTCGGTTTAAGGCCTTGCACGGGACGGTCAGCGATTTGAGACCGGTGTTGCAGACGCAGGGGAGCCATGCTCTTTCATCGTATGCCGCAACACCAACACCAACACCGCCTGCAACATGAGCGAGGCTAGCTGATGGAGGGTGCAGGAAAAACGACGAGTTGCGAGTCTTTGAAGGACAGGCGCGAAAAATCACCAAATATTTTAAGCCCTTTGCGTTGATCTGGGAACTGGGGCTCTGTCGCCAAAAGCCGAAACTCCCGAGGTTTCAATAGTAGCTGTGATTGATGTGCATCCTAATCATGGATCGAGTAAAATTCTAATCGAGGCCGCTATCACAAAATCGCGCCAGATGGCCTGCGGCTACGTGATCACCAAAGCGATTAGTAACATTTCACAAGGAG